TGGTAGAATATTTTCAGATATCTTTCATTCTCCGAAAGGAGGTATTTATAATACAAGGTTACAAACCCTAGTAGGGTTAAAGTAGGAAAATAAGTGGAATCCTAATTACGTAATATCTATACAAAAGGAAATAAATAAAATAATATCCTAATAGAATAAGATATCTCACTAACACTCTCATTTAAGTTGGAGCAAAGACGTCACGCATGCCCAACTTGTCAAGCGAGTTGAGAAAGATACTTGTAGAAACAGCTTTCGTAAGAACATCAGCTAACTGATACTCAGAACGGATGAAGGGGAATGACACAATCTCCGCATCCAACTTTTCTTTAATGAAATTTCGATCAACCTCCACATGCTTTGTACGGTCATGTTGTACAGGGTTATGAGCTATTGCAATCGCAGCCGTATTGTCACAATATAAATCCATGTAAATCCATGGGTTTCTTAGGCCCAAAACCAAGGTCTCTCAACAATCTCCTCAACCATAGTAACTCAGATACACCATGGGCCATCCCCCGATACTCGGCCTCAGCACTAGATTGAGACACCACCTTTTGTTTCTTGCTCCTCCACGTAACAAGATTGCCACCAAAAAACATAAAATACCCAGATGTCGAACGCCTATCTGTAGCTGAACCTGCCCAATCAGCATCTGTGTACCCTTCCATATCTGTATGACCATACTTGGAAAACATTAACCCCTTGCCAGGAGTGCCTTTGAGGTATCTCAAAATACGTGTCACGACACCCATATGGTCTTCACTAGGTGAGTGCATAAACTGACTCACTACACCCACTGCATATGCAATGTCAGGACGTGTATGAGCCAAATTAATTAATTTTCCCATAAGCCGTTGATAGCGCTCCGTATCAGTAGGAGCTTGATCAGGATACAACCCCAACTTATGATTCTGTTCTCTAAGAGTATCAATGGGTTTACAATCTAACATTCCGGTTTCTGCAAGTAAGTCCAAAACATACTTTCTTTGGGATAAAAAAATATCATGCTTAGATCTAGCAACTTCAATTC